GCATCCCCGCGGGCACGATTCCCCCCGCGGGTGTGGGAGGCTGGCCGCCCTTTCGTGAGGGAGGGCGGCCCCGCGGGTGGCAGCGAGGCCGGGGGTCCCGTCGCGTCCCCGTCCACCCCGGGGGCAGGAGGTGGGAAGGCGGCCGGGGAGGTGGATTTGCCTGCCCACGGGCTCCGGTGCCATCCCCGCCACAGGGCTCGTGCTCCTCCGCAGCGGCCGAAAGCTGCGTGCTGAAGAAAACCCTCCGTGGAGGGAAAAAATAATAATAAAACAATATTAAAAATATATATCTAAATCACAAGAGCTGCACGGGATTGATGGGGAACCTCAGCTTCGCCCTTCGTTCCGCCGCCTCTGCCCTCTGTGGTTGACGGGCTCTTTACAAACCGTCCAGAGGAGGGAAGACGCTTCTTCAGTCGCGGCTGGGTAAAAGCTGATTTCTTGTTACTCAGCCTGGCTCTGTCCATGCACTGCACAGCATATCACAGCGAGGTTTATAATTGTGGGGTTCCCCCCCCCCATTACCGTGATACTCGAGTTCTCCACAAACACTGATTCGCAGCCTTCCTTTCCCTGACCCGCAGGCTCAGGAGATGTTCCCCGCCGTCTTCCCGTGTGCGGCTGGCACAGATTTATAACCTGCCCGGCATCACACGGGAGCGAAGGGAGCAGGATTTTGGAGCCCACGTCGCACATCCTGGATGCGGGATGGCACCGCGGCACGCTTGCGGGGAAGACGGGCGGTTTGGAGACACGGCTTTCTGAAGATTTTTTTTAATCTGAAGAGTCAGAGCTTGGGAGGATGGTAAGTTGTGCCGGTGGGAAGCCTGGGAAGCTGAGGCCTGGGGAAAAGCGATGCTGGGGCAAAGTGGTCCCTTCGGAAGGGAGAACCTGGATCCGGAGGTCAGAAACTTCCAGGTTTGTCACGTCCGTCGTCGGGAACGGGCAAAGCTGTGAAGTCTCTTGTTGGCTTGGTGGGTTCGTAATCTTCCTGTTGCAGTTTTTATTTCTACCTCCACCCCAAACAGCAAAAAAAACCCCAAACTCTGTTGCTAAATAATTGCTCTGTTCTCACAGGTGAGCAGCGAAGCTCAATTAATTCTGCTGTGTGAAGCGCTTCTGATCCTCTGATGGAAACATGTAAGGGCAAAACACTTATTATTTTGCAGCTTGCAAAGGCTGATAAGGGCGGTGAAAACGGAAAAAGTCTTACCACTGAAGGGTATTACAGCCCTGCGCTTTTTCCACTCGAGATCTTAGAAACCAGCTGATGGCTGCTGCTTTTCATTTAGAAGGGTTTTTCCCCCCCTTTTGAAAGAAACGCAATCACTACCAAGTATTCTGGAGGGACTTCATCTTTAAACAAATAATGTTTTTCTTGTTGGGTGTGCACTATTATTTTCTTAATTATTCCTGGATTTCTGCCTGTTCCACCAAGAGTTTTCTCAGATGGCAGAAACAATTGGTCCTTTTTTATTACGCTAATAGCAAAAAGTATCCCTAATAAAAAGACTCTGTACATCCCATAAACTCAAACAGGACATGTTTTGCCAACAATCACACCTCTTCACTGAGGCATCTTATATGCTTCTTTTTTTTCTTTCTTTTTTTTTTTTTTTCCCCCCATTACTACTGTTGTTTACTACTCGGCCTCGCTGGCTGGCTGCGTTTTGGTGCCAAAATGAAAGGAATCGAGTCATTTATTTAGCACCAGAGCCCTCCCACTCACCCTTAGCCTGTATGTCGAGATCTCAGCAGATGTGGCGGGGAATGAATGGGCAAAGAGATTCCCCTACACCTCTCACATCTGCTTGTGGGTGGCCTCTAATTAATTTGGCTTCGAGGCTCCGCTGCAAGGTAGATGGGTTAGGAAGTCTGGCCAGGAGTCATCTGTTTGAATCATACCTATTCTATGGAGAACTTCATTGTGTAGCTGTGTCTGACCCGCACCCTTGCGAGAACTAATTAAAAAAAAAAAAAAAAAAAAAGCCCCACACTTATTGGAATGTCAAATATAAATGTCAGCGTTTCAAATGAAATGGTATCTTGGGAGGCTCCTGCACATTTAATCAGCCGGTTGCGCCATCTATATCGTGGACTCAAAAGCTGCAGTGAGAACCACGAAAGGCACTGGCTTAACATCAGCAAAAGTGTTTGCCAAGCTTGGATTATGTCACTGCTTTATGATCTTGCTTTGTAAAGGGAGAATACTCTTGGGGAGAAAGGACTCGGCATGCCGGATCTACAGCGAGAGCAAGGAATGAATGCTGCTCGCAGAAACCGGGGGGCAGGGCGAGGGATTGTGTTTGCTGGGGTATTTTTGCAGATGGATGCTTTACGGCCGCCGCCTTCGAGCAGAGGATGCGCCCCGCAGATCGCTCCGGCTGAAAGCAGAAAGCCCAAAATACCCCAGTGAAGCTGTTTGCTGCTTTCCCCCGCCGGCTCCCGGTGCATCGCCGTTTCGCTCCAGGGAAAGCGGCAAGAGGTGCTGAGGCCCGCCGGCTTTCCCTTTCCCCCGCGGGATACCGGCACCCGGCAGGGTTGGGGCTCGTCAAATAGTCAAAACGGGATGTCTTTGCAGAGGTGGTAGCTATGGAAGAGGTTAAAAAAAATAAACGTCCCCGCACGGCCCGTATTAAACGCGGCCTGCTGAAATGCTTCTGCTCCTCGCAGCGGGGATGAGCTGTGGCCGCTCCTTCTGGGCTGCAGGCTGGTGGCGACGGGAGGAAACTTTCTTTGACGAGACCAATTCTGTTTGTCCAGCACCGGCCCAAACGCCAGGCTCGCCTTTGCTGTCCGCAAGCGGGAGGAGAATAAAGCAAAAAAAGCTTGGCGGTTACGTGCCCTTCAAGGAGTGCTGTTGGTGGTGCAGGGGACATCGGAGGGGACAAATGGCTGAAGAGAGACATCTCTTCAGAAGTAGCCCTTGGGGTTTGAGGGCTGTGCTGCCCGCACTGCCCTTGCTTTCCAGTTTCAGCGAGAACCTTGTGTCGACCCCGCTCCACCCCGGCTCGCTGTTGAAGCATCCTGCCCAGCCTGGAAACTTTCCACAGCTACTGGGCTAATAAACTGCGGCTGCTTCTGGGCGAGTGTCTGGCCAGCCCCAAAATGCATCCCGGCACTGAGGTTTGGCATGGAAAAGGGGGTCCCTGTGCCTGCAGGGGCTGTGCGGGACACAGGGAGTGCGGGTGGGCAGCTCGGGGTGCCGTGGCCGGTGGTGAGGACCAAGCGCGGGTGTGCGTGGCCAC